TTTCTTTCTTTCTTTCTTTCTTTCTTTCTTTCTTTCTTTCTTTCTTTCTTTCTTTCTTTCTTTCTTTCTTTCTTCCTTTTTCCTTCCTTCCTTCTATCTCTTTCTTTCCCTTTCTTTCTGTCCTTTTTCATTCTCTCTCTCTTTCTTTCCCTCCTTCTTTCCTTCCTTCCTTTCTGCACAGATCTGTGCGTTTCCCCCTCCCCCAATAGCTAGCAATCCAAAACAGTCCAGTGGAGCCTGAGCGGTGGGTGTTGCCTTCTGCCACACTTCCGGTGATGTCAGGGGGTGTGGCATATGCAAATAAGTTGTGCTAATAGGTTATGCTAATGAGCTCCTGCACCTCTTTTTCTACGAAATGACCCCTGGATATCGGAAGTCTGGGACCTCTTCATCATGGAAAAGATTCCAGATAACATAAAACAAGCCGATTGAGAAAGAAGTTCTTTTCTCCCTTTCTCTCTGCTTAGTTAGCTAGGATGGAATTCAGCTCTTAAATTAAGGCACGGCATGTTGTTTAATGATTTTCACAACCCAATAAATTTCTGTTCCAATGTGGGTTTCGTAAAACAACAGAGGGAAAAGCCAATGCAGAATCAGCCCTGGTCTCCAGGCCGCCCGATCATCCTCATCGGGGGCCCCGCACCTGGCTCCATTCGTTCCAAGTGAGGCCTCCAGAACTGCACACAAGACTCCAGGTGCGGCCTGACCAATGCACTGCACGGCGGGACTGTGACATCCTGCGATCTGGATGTCTTGAGCCCGTTGCTTCCTCTTTGCCTAAGCAACCTCACAGGGTTGTTGTGGAACAGAGACGGGGGGGAAATCCTGCACACCATCCCTGTCTCCTCAGGGGAAAGGACAGGATAAAAGTGCCGTAGATTAAAGCGATGCAAAAGGGAGCTTGTTTCTTCCTGGTACCGTTGTGCAGCAAACCTCTCCCTACGTCTTGCGATTCCGGCGAAGCGTGCAGCAGGCCTTCCCGAAACAGCAAGCGGCAGCGGGGTTTTTTTTGCCTCCTTTCGCGATCCGCTTCTTTCCATTATACATAATGCAACGATCACCTCTGCGGAGAGATTGTAATATTTATTTTAATGGCCTAAATGCCTTTATTCCCAGATTACATGTCGAGATACGGATTTGTGTGCCATGAGAGCTCCCGGCGCGCCATGAAAAATTAAACAAACATGTTGGATGCATCAGTGCTTTATGGCCAACGGAGCAGCATGGGGGGGGGGGGGTATGCACAGCACTGATTTCCTCTGCTCTCGATGCCAATATAAGGGCAATGGCATTACCCAGAGGGAAGGCAAAAGAATCATAGAATCACAAAGTTGGCAGGGGTACTCCAGGCCATTAAGTCCAACCCCGGCGCAACGCAGGATCAGCCTAGAGCATTTCTGACAAGTGTTTGTCCAGCCGCTGCTTCAAGACTTGTATGACTCAACATCAAATAAGGCTCCAGATATTTCTCAAATATACAATAATATGAAATACAAGAAAATACAATGGATAGGGTAGGGATTTAAAGCACTATCTACCATTTAATACAAGAACTCGTGGGCACTCCATGAAATTGCTGAGCGGTCGGGTTAGAACAGATAAAAGGAAGTACTTCTTCACCCAAAGAGTGATTAATACTTGGAATTCACTGCCACAGGAAGTGGTGGCGGCTACAAGCATGGACGGCCTCAAAAGGGAATTAGGTAAGCATATGGAGCAGAGGTCCATCAGTGGCTATTAGCCACAAGGTATAGATAGGGGCTCTGGGGCAAGCGACGCTCTGTCATCTTGGTGCTTGGGGGGGTCAACAGTGGGAGGGCTTCTAATGTCCTGGCCCCATTGATGGACCTCCTGATGGTATTGGTATTTCTGGCCACTGTGTGATACAGAGTGTTGGACTGGATGGGCCTTTGGCCTGATCCAACATTGGCATCTCTTATGTTCTTATGTACTTATGTACTATTTAACACTTCCAGGGGTCATTTTGTAGAAAAAAGAGGTGCAGGAGCTCATTAGCATAACTTATTTGCATATCCCACAACCCCTGACATCACCAGAAGTGTGTCAGAAGGCAACACCCACCACTCAGGCTCCACTGGACTGTTTTGGATTGCTAGCGTTTTTTGGGGGGGACATGCAGATCTGTCCTCACAGAGGAGGGAAAGCTTGTACCTGAATAAAACTTGGTCTTAAAGGTGCCACTGGACTGTTTTGGATTGCTAACTATGGGGGGAGAACATGCAGATCTGCCCTCACAGAGGAGGGAGAGCTTGTACCTGAAGGTGGGCGGGCGGGGGGTTACCTGGCTGCTTCTTGCCCCTCGTGGCCCAACTGAAGACTGCTTGGAGCAGGGGGCGGGGCTTGTTGCATGTGCCCGCCCCCTGGGCTCCTTACTGCCGAAGCTCCGCTCCTGTGCGCTCCCGCAGGAAATAACCCCTGAACACTCCCAAAAGAAAGACTTCACAAATTCCAATTTCAATGGACTGAAAAACATGAGCTTCAAATGTCCATAAAGCAATTACATCCACTTCTTAACAATGTAAAGGACGGTGCAGTCAGCAAGTAGATCCAGTCTTTAGGACTTGAGACAAACAAAAAGAAATAAATAAAATAAAAACGAGTCGATAAATGGGTACCTGCCCTAGGTGGCAGGGGGCACCCACCTCCTGGTTCCGTGCCAGGAGTGTTGGCAACAGCAACGGAGGTGAAGACGGCAGTGGCGAAAACAACAATGGCAGCTGAATCCCGGACGACCAGACCTGACGGAAGGCGGAGCAGACGCAAGGATGCGAGACGCAGGCGAAGCAGACGCAGGGACGGCGCAGCACGGCTGGAACCGGAAGGACGTGAGCCGGAAGCTGCAGCCGGAAGAACGTTTGTGCGCAAAAACACCAGCCTCCGGGAGAAGGTCGCCGGGCAGCCAGAAAGAGGCCTGGAAGAACAACAATAACATTCGGAGCCCGCCGGGAGAAGGGAAGAAGCGCTGCCAACAGGGTGTCGATAGGGAAGTCCCTCCCCTTGTGAAATGTGGCCCTAGGTAGGTTCAATCACTACTGTATAGTAGTAAGTATGTAAACCGCTCTGAGACCCATTAGGGGTTATGAGCGGTATAGAAGTCGCATGTAAATAAAAATAAATAAAAAATAAATAAGCTGAAGTCAACTCATCCTCCAGATTATTCAATGAGTTTTTCGATCCCTTCGTCAGGACTGCATATCACCGGGAGCTCCCAAAGAGGCACAGCCACAGGAACTTCTCAGCCAATAATGCCTCCAAACTGTCTTATTGTCCAGCAGTGTCTACAAACAGCCTTATTTTTCTTTATTCATGATGGATACGTGTAGCCTAACATTGTAGGTGCTCTTCCATCTAAATGAATGTAAAGACAGCTAGAAGGGCAGAGTTGCAGGATCAGCCTAGACCAGGGGTGTCGAACTCATTTGTTATGAGGGCCGGATCTGACAGAAATGAGACCTTGTTGGGCCAGGCCATGTGTGTCATAAAATGTAATGCCAGGTAAAGTAAAAGTAAAGGTTCCCTTGCTCGAAAGCCAGTCAGATCCGACTCTAGGGTTGCGGTGCTCATCTCCGTTTCAAAGCCGAAGAGCCAGCGCTGTCCGAAGACGTTTCCGTGGCCATGTGGCCGGCATGACTAAACACCAAGACACACGGAACGCTGTTACCTTCCCACCGAAGTGGTACCTATTTATCTACTTGCAATTTCTTGCTTTCGAACTGCTAGGTTGGCAGGAGCTGGAACTAAAGACAGGAGCTCACTCCATCATGCAGCACCCGGGTCTTGAACTGCTGAACTACTGACCTTCCACAGCCTGCAGTTCAGCGTCTTAACCACTTGAGCCACCGCAGCTCCTAATGCCAGGTAGCGGAGATATAAACTTTATAAAGGACACAAACACAGCAGGGTTTTTTTTTAACTTCAAATAAAAACATGCTTAAAACATGGGCACCCTTGCAATGTTTTGTTTATTTAACAGTGTCTGATAACTGACACCTCTTGCTCTGAATTATTGCATCAAAATATCTGTGCTGTTGCCATCTTGAGTGTGCTGTTCAGGTGTGTATCTGTAAGTTGCAAACCTACGATGACGCAGCAGCAGCAGAAGTGGAAGAAGAAGCAGAAGACAGCCAGTTCCACTGCGGGCCTGATAAAAGCCTTCCAGGCGGCCTCATCCGGCCCCCGGGCCGCATGTTTGACACCCCAGGCCTAGAGCATCCCTGGCAAGGGTTTGTCCAGCCTCTGCTTGAAGACTGCCAGGGAGGGGGAGCTCACCACCTCCCTAGGCAGCTGAGTACATCGGGATTCCCTGATGGGGGTGAACACATGCTCAGGAGCCCACAAAGCTGCCTTTTACTGAATCAGGCCCTTTGGTCCATCACGGTCAGTATTGTATGCTCAGACTGGCAGCCGCTCCCCAGGGTCTCAGGCGGAGGTCCGTCACATCTCTTCCTTCCCGATCCCGATCACATGAAGCTGGCTTCTACTGAGTCAGACCATTTGCCCATCAAAAGCGTTGGGCTTTTGGTTGAGGACAGCAATGGTTTTCCATCATAGCTGGCACCCTCCTCTTCTCTTTCACCTTGCCCACTTCGGCCCCCTCTTTAACCTGCCCTCGAGTCAGAACAGTCCAGAGTAGGTTTTAGCAGGGCTATTTTGGGGCAGGAACGCACAGGAACGGAGTTCCGGCTGGCTCCCGAGTTGGCCACGCCCAGCATGAGCTTATTAGCATAATAGGCCACACCCAACAGCAGGAACTCATTAGGATTGGCTACATTAGGGGTGTGTGGCCTAACATGCAAAGGAGTTCCTGCTACAAAAAAAGGCCCTGGATTTTGACAACAAACAAGGTAAACAGAATAAGAAGCAAAAGGTGGATGTGGCTGGATGACCACACTTCTGGTAACATGGGGGTGCGGCCTAATGTGCTAATGAGCTGTGCTGTCAGGGGTGTGGCCCAATATGCTAATTAGTTCCTGCTGTTGGGTGTGGCCTATTATGCTAATGAGTTCCTGCTGGGCTTTTTCTACAAAAAGAGCCCTGGAAACCTTTAGATTAAATAACGAATGCCATCTGGAGATTATCAAAGTAGGAATGATTGAACTGCAGATTCTAATCTGTATTTTTTGGTATGTTTTAAACCTGCTGTACATCGCCCAGAGCCCTGTGTACTCAGGGATTGGGCGATTCAGAAATTCAGTGAACAACAACAATAATAATATCAGTCTTGTCTACTCAGACTGGCAGCAGCTCTCTAGGGTCTCAGGCTGAGGTTTTTCACTTCACCTCCTACCTTGAACTGGAGATGCGGGGGATTGAACCTGGGACCTTCTGCATGCAAAGCAGAGGCTCTACCACTGAGCCATGGCCCCTTCAACTGAAGACACTGAAGCTGGGACCTTCTGCATTCTGTACCACTGGTTTATCAAAGTCTATCAATGTCAATATTGCCTACTCTGGCTGGCAGCCACTTTCCAGGGTCTCAAACGGAGGTCTTCCACATCCCCTGCTACCTAATTGGGAGGGACGGCAGCTTGGCTTAGCCGGATCTCGTCAGATCTCAGAAGCTAAGAAGGGTCGGCGCTTGGTGATAGATTCACTTTTATGGTAAGCAAGGAACCTGTATCGATTTAGCTGTAACTTGCAGGCATATGGAAGATGACCCCTCCCTTTTTTTGACAGCATACTTGGGGAGGGGAAAACGAGTCTAGCATTTGAGTAAATGCTGTAGCTTTTTTAATGTGAGAGCCAGTTTGGTGTAGTCCTCCAAATGCAGCTGCTGGTGTGACCTTGGGCCAGTCACAAGTTTTCTCAGAGCTGTTCTCTCAGGGGTGGTTCTCGAGAGAGCTCTCTCCGCCCCACCCGCCTCACAGGGTTTCTGTTGTGGGGAGAGGAAGAAAAGGCAGTTGTAAGACCTTTGAGACTCCTTCAGGTAGAGAGAAGCAGGGTATGAAAGCCAACACTTCTTCACCTGAAGCCACACTTAGAAGAAGAGGAAGAGATTGGATTTATACCCTGTCATTCAGTACCTGAAAGAGTCTCAGAGTGGAAAGAACTGTGACTGGCCCAAAGTCATTCAATGATTTGAAAAAAGGGGGGAGGGTCAAGCTATCAAAATAAGTTATTATAAGAAGACAGCAGTTCGGAAGGAGAGGTGAAGGATGAGGAAGAAAGAGGAGCAGCAGGTTACAACCTGAGAGATAAAAGTGGGAAGAACTATAAAGTTTAAAAACTGCTATCTTTTTCTTTTAAGCAGACTGATACTAACTACCAAAAGGACAATACTAACTTATTAATTATTTGGTTAACATTTTAGAAGAAAAGAAGAAGCCTCGGTGAAGAAGAAAAGCGTGGACTCTCTGATTGGACTATAAAAAGATTTAATAAACTAACATATTACTAATACCACTCACTCTTTTGTCCCTCTTTATACCTTCCTTTATTTCTAACTTATAGCGAAATCTCTCCCCTTTTCAGGGGAGTGAATAAAGTTTATTAAAAAAAAAAGTTATTATAAAAATACAATTACTACTACTACTACTACTACTACTACTAAAAAAAAGTTATTATAAAAATACAATTACTACTACTACTACTACTACTACTACTATTATTATTATTATTATTATTATTATTATTATTATTATTTTGGATATAAACCCCGCCCTTCACTCAGAGTCTCAGAGCGGTGTACAAACTCCTTTCCCTTCCCCTCCCCCTCCCCACAACAGACAACCTGAGAGGTAGGCGGGGCTGAGAAAGAAACTGCTATTTTTCAAGAACAGCTCTTATCCGAACCATGGCTTGCCCAAGGTCATCCAGCAGCTGCAAGGGGAGGAGTGGGGAATCAAACCCGGTTCTCCCAGATCAGAGTCCACACACTTAACCACTACACCAAACTGGTTGTGGTGTACACATTAGTAAACAATAAAATAAGTTAAAAGAAACGATCCAAATATATAGAGAGCTCTCCGTTTCATATATATAATTGATGGGTGTTTCTTATGACCTGTATACACGTCTCGGCCCCTTAGGGCCTTCCTCAGGGGTCAGTATTACCATTGTATTACCATTGTAAAGCAACACATATCCAGAAATATCCAGAAATATCCAGGTGTCGCTTTCTCATGTGATGTGCAATTGCTAAAAGTGTACACAGTAGGCCATGGATCATCTCTCATGGTAACTGTTATATATTGGGATTGAATCATCCCTGATTGAATCACCCCAGAAACTGGCTGAGCTTGGAGCACAAGAACAATAGCCGACCAGGACTCTGGGAAAAAAACCCAATCAAGTAGTAATGTTATGTAAATAGCCTATCACTGGAAGTGGGGTGTGTTTGGGTGTGGCAACTGCATGCTATTTAACAGAGCTGAGGCTCTAGAGTCTTGTCTCGTAGTTTTGCTCAGGGATATTTTGGGGCAGGAACGCACAGGAACGGAGTTCTGGCTGGCTCCCAAGTTGGCCACACCCCGCAGGGACTCATTAGCATAATAGGCCACACCCAACAGCAGGGACTCATTAGGATTGGCTACATTAGGGGTGTGTGGTCTAACATGCAAAGGAGTTCCTGCAACAAAAAAGCCCTGGGTTTTGATAACAAACAAGGTAAACAGAATAAGAAGCAAAAGGTGGGTGTGGCTGGATGACCATACTTCTGGCAACATGGGAATGTGGCCTAATATGCGAATGAGCGGTGCAGTCATGGGGTGTAGCAGGGCTATTTTTGGGCAGGAATGCACAGGAACAAAGTTCCGGCTGACTTCAGAGTTGGCCACGCCCACTACAGCCAAAACCTCTGTGTGTCTGGCTACGGAGGGAAGGGGCGTCCGGGCAAGCCAAGGGAAGGCAGTTTAAAATGCCTTCCCTTCCCTCCAGGGGCCGGCTTGCCTGGGCTCCGTGCAGCCATAGGGCGCCCAGGCAAGCCAAAGGAAGGCATGGGGTTGTGGCCTAATATGCTAACGAGCTGCGTTGTCAGGGGTGTGGCCTAATAGGCTAATGTATTTCTGCTGTTGGGTG